AGCCCTCTTCTCTGAAGACCTTTTACAAAAGCCAATTCCAGGCTGGAGAGATGGCTCAGTGGTTAAGAGCACTGACTGCTCCTCCAAAAGTCTAGGGCCCAATTCCCAGCACCCACATGGCAGGCCCCCAGCCTCCCACCCCTGCAGAAAACCCCATCACCTCCATCTCTAATTAGCCAGGTCCCCTGTGCCATGAGTAAGCTGAGGATGTACACATTTACCTACATGCACACAAGCATGCACTCACTTACATACACACATGTACTCACCTACACACATGGACATGCACACATTGTAGTAATTGTACCACAAAGCCCTGTGAGAAGAGAATAGGAATGCTTGCTCCCTGCGCCCCAGTTACCCAGTACTGACCCTGAAATCTGTGTGGGTCTCAGCTGTCTATCAGCAGGTGGCAAGCACAGGATCCCTGCTGACCACCAGGGGACATGGTGACCTCCAGACATGGTTTACATGAGGAAAAGTGGCCTAGTGAGAGAAGGTGTTCCTGAGTGTGTTGCTTGCAGCCTTCTGGGTTCCCTGACCATATACAGGCATGCCCAGTAGTGTGTGTGTGAATGGTGGTTCGTGCCGTGGACATGCAGGAGTACACTCTGCGTGGCATGTGTGCTCGTTGTGTGTGCATGCACACCCTTCCTCCATGTGTGTGCCTGGCATGCATCTCCAGGCGTCTGATTTATTATCCAGGACAATACAAGGAGAGCGTGCCTATTATTTCTGGTGTCCGCATCAGCTCCTGACAGCTTCGTGGAATTGAAATATCTTATTTAATGCGAGTAAGGATCATTTTAAATATCAACCATGACACTCAAGGACTCCAACCAAAAAGGGCATTGTGTGTCCCACAGATGCAGCGCTTGTTAGGCAGTTATTTGTTCACTTTCTTGTCTCTTGTCTCTTAAAAATCCAATTATCCGCCCTGGTCCCCCTCCCCCATGGCTACGCTCTACCCCAGCCCTTCTCTTCATCTAGAAAGAGCAGACTGAGAGGCAGGGCCTTCCGAATTAAATCAGGCGTGCACTTTGATGAACATCAGGACAGGAGTGGGTTCTTGGTGTATCTTCCTGTCCAATCCAAAGCCCCTTCCCTGTGCCTCTCTGGCCCTAGCCCCCTTGGGTCAGCTCACTGAGAGAAAGCAAAGCTCCCTCCATCCAGAAGAGCCGCCTGTGCTCTGCAGATGCGATAAAGGCCAAGGCAGGGCAGGGTGGGGCGATGGGAAGATGTCTAAAGACAAAGTCACAGAGCAGGGGCCCGGGTTTGTGTGATTATAAAGAAGAGGGATTGGACATTTGAATTTACTCACATTTGGCTAAGTTGAGAAGATACTTGTGAGTTTTCCATGTGTGAGTTACAGATCATCAATGACAGGAAGCTGGGATGCAGAGAGGGTGGGGCTGCCTACTGTATGTTTTCTATGTTCTTCTTTGAGTTTCGACTCAGGCGGAGAAAGTCCTATAATTAAGTGAACTTTCAGAGGGACTGAAGCTGGGTGAATCCAGATGTTTGGAGCCAGGATCAGGCTCCTCCCCCTCCTTGAACAATCAAAGGAAAGTGATTAGGCTAAGAGTTTAGAAGCCAAGCAAGGAAGTTTGAGCTCTTATACCATGGTCTCTTCTTGGTCCTCCCCTCTGAGCCTCCCCATGCCATCCCAGAACTTTCCACCAGTGGCCCTTACATTTGCTCTCTCAATCAACAAGCTTTTATGAAGAAGCTGCCCTGTGCCTGGAGATGCTCGCATCCAAGATGGCCACCATCATGCCCACTCTACAGAATGGGTGTCTGAGGAGTCAATGGACAGCCCTGAAAGTTTAGCCTGTGTCTCCCCTGCAGGAGAGTTCCAGCACTTTTCTCCCACACCACATTTCCTCTTGGTGTGGCAGGGACAGTCAGGGGCTGCTGGTCCATAGCATTCCATCCATGATTGCTCCCAATGGACCTGAAGCAGGGCTGCCTCTTCCAGTTCTCTGCTGGCCAAGTGGCCACAGGTGAATGGAGCAGAGAGAGAGAGAGAAAGAGAGAGCTGTGGCCCGAGGGTGTGTGTCCTCACAGCCACAGCAGGGGACATAATGACAGTAATGAATGTGGTTACTGTCATTACTGGGGCTGCTTGTGGCATATGCTGAGTTTGCAAACCAAGACACTAGCTAACTGATTCCCTCCCATCCCAGGAGGGCGACAAGAGCTGCATTCTGGTGCTATGGATAGGACTCCCCTGGTAGGGAAGCAGTGTGTAGAAGTATTGGTTTAAATAATGATACCTGTGAGCCTGCAATAGGTCCCCCAAGCTGGAACAGTAGCCTACAGGCAGTCAGGGAGAGGAAGACAGAAGAACAGGCAAGTGTACGGGCCCTGCTAGGCTAGGGAGCATGCCTGCCCTTCACTACAGGAAACAGGAGGGCATCTCCCAAAGGTCAGGGAACAAACCCACAGCCTGTGTCCTTCCTCATGACCCCAGGTAGGGCCTGAGGACGTCTGGCTGAAGGACATGGACATCAGTCTTCAACAGACACTGGGTTTCATTAAAGTTTAAATTTTGCCATGCATCACTGACATTGGCAAACAAATTCAACTTGAATGAGTCCCCGGTGCCTTTTTTATAATGTGTACTTAGATTCTATGCACAAAGTACACTTTTTAAATTTTATCTTTAAAATAAAAGCAATCTATGTATATGATAAAGACGACTCCAATGATACAGAAAGACATAAAATCAAAATAAGTACACATGTCCCTCCCCCGACTTCAATCCTGGATTCTTCTCCCAAAAGAGAAATAATGTGTTATGGATACACTGTCTCGAAAATACTTGTGCGATTATGTGTTCACACGTGTGTGCATGTGTGAACATACAAATGAGTATAGTACACACACACACACACACACACACACACACACACAAGTATACTATTTCAATTTACCCAAACAATGTTCTAACGTGTACTATTTTCTTTTAACTTGAGGACAGGGGACAATCTAGATTGCTTTTATTGAGTCAGTTTCCAACCATTAAGAATTCAATAACACTTCTCCAAACAGCAACAGCCAGGGGGGCATTATATCTGTTCCTGATGGTGGGTTCTGAGGCTGTTGAGCTCTTCACACTACCTTGTATTTGTATTTTGATTCATGTAACTCTAACAGCCAGGGATACTTTATATCCTTGTTCCTCACCATCAGTTCTGAGGTTGTTTAGCCCCTCACACAACCTTGTATTTGTATTTTGATTCATGTAACTCTCCTGTCTCCCTGCTTTGATTTCCCTTCCTCACCCTGGGTGTCTTGGAGACTTTTCTAGTTCATCCCACACAGGTGTTCTTCTCTCACTCGGGAACCACAGCATCATTTATTGATCTAATTCTGGTTTGATGGACATGTCTGTTGCTTCCTATTTCTCTTTGTTTCTCTCTGCTACCACAAGCAGTGCTACAGTGAACATCCTTGTACATATTTTTCTTTCTGTCACACTGTTGCAAGCGTAACTAAAGAGCCATCTCCAGGGAGCACAAGTTCTTGTCAGAGAATTTACATGTTCTAATTGCCGTAGAGTTTTGCCATAGGATAGGTCAAATCCCAGTACCACCAACAAACCTGCTGGGATCCCTTCACCTTCCCTTCCCAACCCTTCCCCTCCCTTCCCTTCTCTTCCTCTCCCCTCTTCTCCTCTCCCCTTCCCTTCCCCTCCCCTCCCCTCCCTTGCCCTCCCCTCCCCTCCTCTCCCCTCCCCTCCTCTCCCCTCCCCTCCTCTCCCCTTCCCTCCCCTCTCCTGCCCTCCCCTGCCCTTCCCCTTCCTTTCATTCTTATGGTTCAGCAATCTGACATGCAAATAGACTCTTTGATTTCAATGTCTTTAATTACAATAGAGGCCAAGTATCTTCATAAACTTCTCAGGCATCTCTCTTCATTCTCCTTCCCCTGCTTTGAACAGTATCAGATTGCCTTCTTTCCCTTTTCTTTATTATCACCGTGTGAGGGTATGTGTGGGGAGTGCACCACAGTGCTGGCACACGTGGAGGTCAGGGTTCCTCTCCCTCCACCTTGGGTCCTGGAGATCAGACTCAGGCCCTCAGGTGTCGCTAGCTTCTACCTGCTGAGCAGTCTCACTGGCCTCCAGGACCCATTTCTAAAAGTCCATCATCTTTCCAGCCCACCTCTTCTCCACCACCCTTTAAAGAGGTTTTCCTACCTCTTTAAAGACCTAAGCACTTTCCCTACAGCCCCTTGGCTCAGAAGGGGTGGGACAGCAAGCAGGGGCAAGTACTTGGGACAGGGTTGAGAACAAAGAAGGGGGCTGTTTACCAGAGGTTAGGCCTCTGCTGTCTGCCCAACAAGGGACAAGAGATAGATAAGACCTGTGGCTGCTGGCATAGATAAGGGACTAGATGGTACTGCAGAGCCCAGGAAAACTGTGCACATGCTCAGTTATATACCAGAGTTGGGCTGTCCCCATTGAAAGTGGATTTCTTAGGGATATGGCCTCAGCCTTGAGCTGGTTCAAAGCCAGGCTCAGTGGGACCTGGACCCTGCCTCTTATTATGTGTGGAACAATAGGTCAGTGCCAAGGTGTGCCTGACCCTCAGAACTGTGAAATGGCTTGCTAAGTACGCTCCATAATGTTGATGTGAGGATCAAGCCAAAATCCCTCCAATGCAACTGTAGAGATTGCAGTGGTACAGGTAGCGTATTGATGTAACACTAGTGTAGGGAGCATCACATAAAATTTATATTTACATCATTGTGTAAGCTACCTTGATATTAAGGTTCTTTTTTTTATCATCTCAGAAATGTCATTTGGGGAGGGTGCTAGCCATCTGTAGTTATTTTTTTCTCTCTAGCACTTTATAATGTTATTATTTTCTGTTTTACAATGGTTTTTTGCTTGATTCAGTTTGCTCTTTGGTTGATTGATTTTAATGATCTTGGCAAAGTTAAAAAGTTGATAGTCTTACATAGATCCATATTTTTAAAGTGCTACTTGTCCATAGCATCCAAGAGTCGGGGGACTGCTGTGAAATGAAGAAATCTACGAAAAGCATCTGGAACACAGATGGTGCCATCATTGGGAAGGTGACAATGGTGATGGCGGTGGTAGAGAGGATGATGGTCACGATGATGGGATAGAGGTGACGGTCATGGTGGTGGTAGTGGTAATGATGATGGTGGTGACAATAGGGACAATGGTGATGATGACGGAGAGGATGGTGATCATGATGATGAAGTGTTACAGTAACAACAACTATGGGGTAATGAGTATGATGTCAGTGATGGTAATGGAGATGTGGGCAGTGATGGTGATGATGGTGGTGATGATGGTGAAGGTGGTGGTAATTATGATGATGATGGTGGTAGTGATGATCATCATAGGTATGGTAAGGGTGATAATGATAGTGGGGAAAGTGTGATAATGGTTACTATGATGGTGTTGATGATGGTAATTATGGTTATTATGTCATGATAGTGATCTGTTTATGATGATGGTAGTTATGATGAAGTAGTGCTTATCTTGGGGGGAGAATGACAGCAATGATGAGGGTGATGGTGGGAATCATGATGATGTGGTAGTAGTGGCAAGATGATGGTGGTAGTGATGGGACGCGAGATGATGGTGATGATGATGGTGGTTATGGTGATGGTGATTATGGTGATGGTGATGGCAACTATGATGATGGTGAAGATGGTGATGATGATCACGATGCTGGTGGCATGGTGATGATGACAACAGCAGTGGTGATGGACAGTGGTTGACGGTGGTGGAAGTAACAGTGATTCTGCTGTTGGTGACAGTGAGGATGTTGATGAGATAATGATGATTGTAGTGTTGGTGGTGGTGGTGTGAGTGATGGTGGTGATGATCACGGTGACAGTGATAGTGGAGATGATGGTAGTGGTGAATGATTATGATGATGGTAATGTAATAGTAGTGATGGTGGTGGTGGTGGCAATGATGATGATGGTAACAGTAGGAACAAAGATGATAGTGGTGGTGGTGATGGTGCTAATTGTGGTGAGGTGGTGATAATGGTAGTGATGATGAGGACAATGATGGTGGGTCCAGGCCAAGACTCTTACAAATCTAGCAACTCCTATGAGTGAGCTATTCCATCCCAGTCTTAACATACCCTGGAAATAGATGGCTTTGAATTTGTCCACTGTGGTAGCTGAACAAACTCAAGGACTATGAGAACTGGGGAGAGATATCAATGATCCTATCTCCTCCTTCATCTGAGGACCCCGCTGGACCATTGCCTACTGGTATAAAAGGTAATCTCTCAGTGCCACCATCCCCATCCCGCTTCCTAGTGTCATCTTGTTAAAAGCCTCTTTGCTGACCTGCATCATTCCTGCCCCTCTGTAAGGCAAGTTCGCCATACACCTGCTCTCCTGCCATGGGCCCACCAATGCCAACTCTGTGGTTCTTTGGATGACAAGTACCTGATGAGCTGACTGAGGGCTTGGCTCAGAGTCAGGCGTGTGGACAAGAGCCAAGTGCTCTGGCACAGGAGGCTCTGTCCCCAGCTCCACTGTGTAGCACCGTGTGTGTGACATGAAGGAAGAGCTGATGGAGAACACTTGGGGAGATGTGTAAATTTTCCTGCCTCTGTCACCTGTCTCTTTTGATTAATACTTACAACACAGCCCTGTGCCTGGCCAAAAACCAAATGTCTTCTCAGTGAGCCATAGGCAGGAGAGGACAATAGCCTCTAACAGAGCAGCCCTGGAAGGTGTGGCTGTGGGCAGGGAGGTGTAGCCGTGGGCAGAGCAAAGGACAGCTGAATCCTGAAAAGATAAGCAAACCTGTGGCCCATGAGAGGGACCACATCCTATTGATAAAGACCTCGCTGGGATCCCATGACATGTACCAAGACCTTCTTCTAATCTTCACTCAGAATAAGGGGACACCATGACCTTTGACCCTGAGCCCTATTTGACCTCTGCACCTCTAAAACTACCTACCTTACTTATTGGCTGTCTCATCTGTCCTCCAGGTACATGATTACCAGCCTGGACCGCACTCACGCCGGCTTCTACCGCTGCATCGTGCGTAACCGGATGGGGGCTCTGCTACAGCGGCAGACTGAGGTCCAGGTGGCCTGTGAGTACAGTGGGGACTGTGGCAATAACGGGCCGGTACTGTTCCTTTCACCCCTGTTATAAGTCAGTGGAGTCCTTCCTGAATGGTCAAATCAGTCCTGATAGAACCGAGGCCCAGAAGGGAGCTCTCCAGAGTCACACAGCTCATCAGTGGCTTATACTACTGCTCTGTGCCGAGGCTGGAGAGTCGAGCACTCCCTGGCACCGTGTTCCAGAAAAGCATGACCTCGGCACTATCATCTCTAGCTCATTCAGCAGGGGCGATGGTTGCCTTGACCCTACTGTCTGTCCTCCAGATAACTCGCCTGTGCAATCAGTGCATAGGGATCCCATGACCTTCCGGAGGCCTCAGGAGACACCTCATGTGAGAGAACAGTAACCCTGTGAGGGGACAGGGAATGGTGTACTGGAGCTCCCAGAAGTACCAGGGGGCAGCGGGTAGAGTAAGTGGTCATTACTCAACCTTTAGTGATTGGCTCCTTCTCCTCAGTGCCAACAAAGCCCAGAGAGGCTTCCTCAGGTAAGGGGGAGGGCAGTGTCAGAACTGTAGGTCCCCCCAGTGGCCACCACCCCCCAAGGCACTCAGCATCTCTTCCCCAAACCTCCTGCTTCCTGAGGGACCTGATGCTTGCTAGAAAGGAGACTGACTGTGGGTTCTTTTAAGCTGGCCAAGGACACATCGGTGGTTACAGAAGTCTGGGAATTCTTCATGGGTGCTGTAATTTTACAAGAGAAGTCACCTACCTCTGAAAAGTAACTTCAGAGCAAATACCTAGGAGAGGCTGCTGTGGGGAGAAAAGTCGAGGATAGAAAGCACAGAGGAAATCTCACAGCTTGTCAAAGAGTGAGTGTGATAATTAGGAAAAACAGCCATAATCAAAAGTAAGAGGACAGGCCGGCCATAAGCCAGCATCAAAGGCAACTCGGTTCACACTCTAAGAGCAAAGCTTGAATCTCAACATGGGGTTTCAGGAAGCTGACAGCCGTGGCTGGAGGATGGCCACCAGGCATCTTCATTTAGTGCCAGGCATGCCCACCTTTGTGGCATTTTGACATAATGTTGTCATTTACAAAACTCACTCTCAAGAACCATGCAATCAAGTTTCAAAAGAAGATATACATACACCCAAATCTCATGTTTGAAGTTCATTTCTGATTTTAGCCACAACATAACTAACTATAGGGCACATTCAGCCCATGGACTTTGAATTGGACACACTAGCTTCTCATCATGTCCCAGAAATCAGCAGGCCTGGAGGTGAGAAGCCTCCAGAGAGACTGTGTGTCCCACATGTGTGTCCATGTGCGTGTGAATGTACGCATATGTTCAAATGTATTCATAAACGTTGATCTGCCTTTTGGTTCATTGTGTAAGGACAATGAACATGTGTGTGCAAGTGTGTACACATACACATGTGTCTTGGATACATATGTCTGGGTCAATCTGCCTCTACACGGCAGTGCATGTGTTTGTGCAAGTGTGTGTCCATGCACTGCATGGATTTGTGTGTGCAAATGTACACCCAGATAAATATGTATGTGTGTGTGTGTGTGTGTATGTATACAGCCTGTGCTCACAGGTATGTGTGTGCTTGCATATGTAAACATGTGAAGACCTACCTTGGCCTGTTCTTTCCTCTTGGGAGTGAGTGCAAGAGAGGACATGCTTTCCCAGTTTCCCCCGTCTGTCTGTCTGTCTGTCTGTCTGTCTTCCTACACAGAGACACCATTCTAGAGTGAGTGGCACCTGCTGTTTCTCCCAACCCTCGCTCGCCCTCCCCTCTTTTGCTGTGCCCACCTGGGGACAGGGGAAGAGTCTGGGTCCCATGACTTCAAGCAGCTTGCTCCCCAGTGCCCGTTATAGGGATCCTGGAGCTGACAGGCTCCACCCCAGTCCCCGCCCCTCTCTGGAGAGAGCTTGTGACTTGTGTTCTAATGAGAAATTAATAAGGGCAGCTGACTAAGAACTAATGATAATGGCAAGGTCGTTTTTTTACAAAAAGATTCTTTACATGTTTTTAATTACAGCAATTAAGGGGAGTCAATAAAACTTCTCCCCCTCCCCGGCCCCACTCGAAATCTCTTTCTATGTTTTGAAAGTCGCCATAAATCCCTGCCATTGAGTGAGTGAAATGAATGGCCAGGAGATTGAAAAGGCTCTCCAGACTCAGGGTTCCCATGAGCCAGACTTTCACCACATCCAGGGCCTGTGGCTTCCTCTCTCCCCCTCACCTGGGTGGTGCCCCCTCCCTCTTCCCTAACCCTTGCTGACATGCTCAAAATGGAACTTGTCATCTCACCCCATCCCACCCCATCCCCCCACCACACCGCACCCCATTCCACCCCATCCCACCCCATCCCATCCACTTCACCCCACCCCATCCCACCCCATCCCACCCTATCCCTTCCCACCCCATCCCACCCCATCCCATCCCACCCCACCCCACCCCACCACATCCCATCCACTTCACCCCACCCCATCCCACCCCATCCCATCCCAACCCACCCCAATCACTCCACCCCAACCCATCCCATCCCACCCCATCCCACCCCACCCCATCCCATCCCATCCCACCCCACCCCATCCCATCCCATCCCACCCCACCCCATCCCATCCCATCCCACCCCATCCCACCCCACCCCATCCTACCCCATCCCATCCACTTCACCCCACCCCATCCCACCCCATCCCACCCCATCCCACCCCACCCCATCCCATCCCATCCCACCCCACCCCATCCCATCCCACCCCACCCCAATCACTCCACCCCAACCCATTCCCCCACCACATCTCACCCCATCCCAACCCATCCCACCCCATCGCATCCCATCCACTTCACCCCACCCCAACCATCCCCCCACCCCATTCCACCCCATCCCACCCCATCCCATCCCATCCACTTCACCCCACCCCAACCCATTCCCCCACCACATTCCACCCCATCCCACCCCACCCCACCCCATCCCATCCTACCCTACCCTACCCCATCCATTCCACTCCATCCTAGCATGCCAAACTCAACCATACAGGGCAGAGCAAGGCCCTGCTTGTCCTGGGAATCAGACCCACTCCCCTTGTTATCAGGGTCCCACCAACTACTCACTCAGAGCGGGACTGGGGGTCACTCTGTAGTCAGGAAGGCTGGAGTGACACTAGAATGCTCTGACTGGCCTGCTTATCCGGGTCTCCCCTCTACAGCATGAATGTGGGTAAAGGCCAGGAGCACAGGGGCTGTGCAGCCAGCTTGAGGCAATGTAACAGGTTTGTCACAAGTGTCCTTTGCTGAATATTTACGTCAGTCATGAATGGTATAAGTGGCATACGCCTGTCATCCCAGCTCACAGGACTCTGGAAGAGAGGGATGTCAGTGGGTTACAGGTCAACCTCAGCAACATGGCAGTACCTTGCCTGAAGGAGAAAAAAATGCCTGCAATTGTCGTAGTGTCCTACAGCATACCCAGCACTGTTCCAGGCAGTGATGGTGTAGCAGGAAACACAATCAAGATCCCTCCCTCCAGGAAAGCTAAGAAGTCTATATAATAATATAATATTAGAATATAATTGATGTAATCTATATGAGGCCCATGAATGAATGCAATGTATTTGAAGGAAAATGGAGCCATGCAAGAGGGGTAGGGGAGGGGTGGGTTCCCTACTCCATGCAGTATTGGAGAATGACCACCAAGGACATGAAACTGAGCAATCTGGTAGGAAGATGGGTGAGCCACACAGAAGGAAAGACCATGCCAAGCCAGGAAACAAGTGTAAAGGCTCTGTGGTATCCTTGAGGGTCTGAGATGAGGTGGCATAAACGCTCAGAATGAGCTGGAAGTCAATGATGGTTAAGGCAGGGCTGAGGTAGGATCTGGTGTCGGATAGGTGGGTGTTCTTTTCATGATAAATGCATAAATCCACAAGGAGGTACTTGGCCGTGTGCACTCAACTGTCAAGAGTCGCGTGCAACCAGATCACGTGTGAGAGGCATACACCTATGTAATTGGTAAATTGATGAGATTAGGGAAGTGGTGGGCGGCATAATTAGTCAAATTACCGCGTATGCACCATTCTAGCCAGCAATTGCATCGTTGGAATGGTGCACTAGAGGTCTCCCCAGAGCCTGTGAGCTGGGAGGGCCATGGGGGACTGTGCACAGCATCACATCATGTGACCCAGGGAATTCCCAGCAGCTGTGAAGATAAACTCAACTGAAAGCCAGGATTTCAGAGGGGGGAGGGGGCGATGCCACAAAAAAAAAAAAAAAAAAAAAAACCCACATTATCCGTCACCACCACCCCCCAAAAAATCACAAGAGACCACATACAGGTTAAACCCAGGGGTGAATGTTTAAAAATAGGTTAATTAGCCACGAAAAGCCTGAGTAATCCGTTTGTGAGGACACATATAGGTGGATGGCCCAGCATTCTGGAGAAAGGTTCACCCGGGCAAGGGGAATCTGGTAACCACCTTGTCGGGACCTTTGAACTGGGTGCTGTGTACAGACAGGGGGTGTTGATTTTTTCTTTTTTTTTTTTTTTCCTTCAAATTACACATTCATTTATATTCATTTTGTATGCATGCTCCGTGCAATGATTTAAAGATAAGTACGAGCAAGGATGTATTCTGCAGTAGAATTCTCACCTTACAAGCCCTCTTACACACTAACAAAGACATCAAGAGTGAGCTCTGGGCCACACCCCACTGGGCCTAGGGCCTACAGTCCTCTGCCCTGGTTGGGGGGGAGGGGAGTGTCTGGAAGGCTGGATAGGCCCTGCAGGGCATAAGATGGTGGGTGGGTAGCCGGGTGAGCAGTATTTCAGGAAGTTAGCAAAGGGAATGAAGAAAGTTCCCAGGGGCCCTGAACCCAGCCTGTCCTCCCCCCCTGCCTCAGCCCAGATCCTTCACTGGCAGGCTGGCCTCCTCAGTAGCCTCGCCCTGCTCAGTTTAGTACTTTCCAGATGTGTACAATGGGCTAAAGAGGGTGTATGTATACAATGGGTGCT